TGGCGGTCTCCCCTGCGGCCGCGGTGTCTACCGAGAGGGACACCCTCTCGGACACGTCCTGGGGCAGGGCGCTCCCGGAGCTGCAGGGGCGCCTCGCCCGTGGCGACCCCGAGGGCGAGGCCGAGGCCGCGCCTGCGTCTCGAAGTTCTCGCCGGGTGCGACGCCCGAGCTCTCGTCGCAGCCGAGACGCCGCGGCCCGGCCGCGGGTTTCTCCCCGGCCGTGCTCCGCGCGCGTGCCAGCGCAGCGACGTCGGTGGCGGCGCCGCGGAGGCCGCCGGGGCTCCGCGCGGGGGCCGCGAGTCAGCGCGGCAGTGCTGCCCCCACGGGGCGAGGCCAAGCAGGAGGGAGCCTGCGCGTAGGAGCTGCCCCTCTCGCCGGAGGGGCCTCTGGCGCGGGCCCGCTGGGGCCCGCGATCGATGGCAGCGGCCTGCGCGCATGGGTTTGACCCCCTCCCGCCCCCGCAGCAGCCATCGAGAGCGGCCCCAGCAGCAGCCAAAGTCCCTGAGCGCAGCAGCTGCTGACAGATAAGGAATGGATTCAATAACAGTTATCCTATTGCGATGACCTGTCGGCCGGTGCCGCCGACCCTGAAGGGGAACGTCGACAACGGCGGTGGCGGTAGCGACGACGACGATGTGGACATGGGTCAGGGTCCTCATAGATGCTTCTTGGGGTCTCTTCGAAGCGCTCTCGGGGGATAGTTTAGGGGCCTCTAGGGAGCCTCTTGGGGGCCTCTTGGAAGCCTCTTGGGGATCTCTAGGGGCTTCCTGAGGGCCTCTTCGGGGCCTCTTGGGGCCTCTTGGATGCCTCTTGGTTCCTCCTGAGAGCCTCTCGGGGCCGAGGGCTCGACGTGTCCGTTCTGGTCCCTCGTCTGGGCACCCTCTCGGAGCCGTCTTGGGGGCCTCTTGGGGGCGTGTTGGCTCGTCTTGGGGCCCTCTTGGGCTGCTTTGGGTCCTTCCTGGAGCCCTCTTGGGCCGTCTTGGGGCGATACGGGGGGCCTCTGCTTGGGGTCCACCCCGCCCAGGATTGTGCGGGGATTGGCTGTCGGGGGACTGCCACTGACATGTCGGCGCTGTATCGCTGTGTCCAGATCGACGTTTCCCCCCTGAGCTGGCCCCGCCCCCCGATCGCTGCCTCTCTCGACGATCTCAGGACGTGGGTCAGCCCAATGTGTGTGTGTTACCCCCTTCTGGACAACACACACGTTAACGGTAACACCCGTTCTGAGGATCATAGACTCTCAGGTGATGGGGGGAGCAGCGCGAGAAGTCGGCAGGGGACGGGGCACGCACATCGGCAGCCAATTCGGCTCAAGGCCAGTACCGCCCAGGGCGCAGGATCTTTCTCTCGGGCTCCCCCCGACGACGCCGCATGGGGTGCCGGCGCAGCACCTCGGCACAGCCGCCGACCTCGGACGCGAGGGTTCGGCTCGCGCCGCCCTTGCCGCAGCAGCTACCCTTCGCAGGCCTCTGGCCGCAAGGCCCAGGTGCGCGCGGGAGGCGCGCCGCATGGGCGCCCCCGCTGGCGACAGAGCCCCCGCGCCGGGTTAGACGCCCTCCGGGGCTCACGTCCCTGGCGCTCCGTGAGGCGGCTGCGCGGGTTGCGCGCGCGCGGCCGGTGCTGCGTGCCCAGGTTGGCGTGGTGCGCAGGCGTGAGGTCTCCCCGAGCACGCCGCGCGAGAGTGCGCCCGCGTCGGAGCTGACCGCCGACGGGGCGCGCGATCCGCTCGTGGAGGACTCCGCCACCACCCCGCGCGAGGAGGGCTCCGCCACCACCGGGTGGGCGGACGGGCAGGGCCCGAGTCAGGACCCTGGTGCCGCCGCTGACGTACCCCCACCCCTTCGCCGTGTGAGCGGGGGCGCTCTCCTCGACGGGAACCTCCAAGCAGGCTCGTAACCGGGCACCCTGATGGCTTCTTTTTACCGTGCATTTTCTTCCCCGCCGCCGCCGCACGAAGACTGATCACAGATGACAGTCCTTGTTCGTGTTGGACATAACTCGTTGTCGGTGCCGCCGCGGGCGTTGTCCACTTGAGGCAGGCGGCCGCCTGCCCAACAGCGGCCGCTGTCGATTTGGGACACGACTTTGGGGCATCGATCCCACATTTTTCCGTACCCACGTCGGTTGCCCAGAATGGCTGGCAAGTCGGCGGATTGTTTAGAGCTTGAGCTCCGCTGCGCCGCGCCCGCGGCCGCGCCTGCAGCCACACTCTGTCCACTGCGGATGTGCCGGCACGCGTTCGCAGGATGAAGCTCCGCAGCGCTCTTAGGCAGTGGCAAGTCACGAATTTCGTCCGATCCTTCCTTCCCACCTGAGAGTTTAATATTCCTGGCCAATACAGATTTGGTATGGGAAAAGGGGCGGCAATGCCGACCTTGATTATCACGGGGGGACAGTGCGAATCGAAGTGACTATCTTCTTATCTGCAGTAGCAAGGATTCCCAGGTTTTCCTGTGGGCGTCCGAAGGATATCCGAAGGAATCTTATGGATGCCCGAAGGAATCCTGTGGATGTCCTAAGTCATCCTAAGGATTTCTCCAGGGATCCGGTGGATGTCCCAAAGAGTCCTGAGGATGTCCTAAGGAATCCGATGGATTGCTAAAGGAATCCGAAGGAAATTCCTAATAATTCCGATGGGGCGTCCAGGATCATATTTATCATCATCAGCATCATCATCACCAACATCATCTCACCACCATCATCAACATCATCATTAACATCGTCATCATCATCATCATCATCATCATCATCATCATCATCATCATCATCATCATCATCATCATCATCATCATCATCGTCGCCATCGTCGCCATCATCATTATCATCAGGTTACGATCTCGGGGACACGTCGAATATCCCACCTGGACCCCGATCCTTCTTATCCCGAGGGGGTTAATATCAGGAGCGCAGGGTTAGCCTTCCTTCATCGACCTCCGCCCCCCCCCCCTCCGGCAAGCGGGAGAGAGGCCGATTCCATTGTTCAAGGTTCAATCGGATTTCTCTATTAGCATAGTGTGCTTTCAGTGCACGCTTTGTGCGGTCGGTGACACCCCGCCGTGTGTGTGTGTGTGTGTCTTTTTGGTACACGACTATGACTGACTGATTCCAGTGGCCACCCCGAACGGGGCAGCTTGGTTTCGGCAGTCCGTCCGGCGGACATTGCGGCGAGAGGGTATGAAAGGGGGAACTCCGGGATGAGGAAGAGGAGGAGCACGAGGAGGATGACGAGGATGACCTTGCTCGTCCCATGGCCGCTCAGACTCTCAGGCTTTGAAACCTCTCGGGCCCGCAAGCCTTTTTCTCGACTGGAGGCCCGTCGCACCGTCAAGCTTTCCTCGACTCGCAGACCGTCTTCCGCAAGCGAAGCCTCTTTGCATCGGGCTGCAGGACCTCCTTCGGCCATCACTCCGCGCTGCGAGCTTCAAGCTGCGCCGTCGCCTCCCTCGGGGCGCGGCGTGTTTTTCCCGCTCCTCAGGGCGGGCTGGTGCCCGAGCCCTCGCGCCGTGCCGGCAGAGGCCTGGACGCCGAGGGAATTCTTTATTCATGCCACGCCTTGCTGGCAGAGGTCTGGACGCCGATCTCGTCCTCAGCATTGTGGTCTACGAAAGAAGACAGGCCAGGGTGGCCCCAAGACGGCCCACATTAGGGGGACTTCTCATTAGGGGGCCGCATGCGAGCCCTACCCCTACCCCCACGATTTCTGAGGGGTAGGGTGGGGTTCACTTCGCTTGGGAGCTCCCGAGCGAAGTGAACCCCACCCTCCCCTTCAGAAATTGTGGGAGGTAGGGGTAGGGTTCGCATGTGTCCCTCTACTCATGACCTCTTTTTCGCCCCAAGGACCGTCGCCTGCCGCACATGTCGTGGGCGCAGGCCGAGCCTGTCCTGCCCCGCTCGAGCCTCCTCCCCCGAGGGCGCGTTGGCCAAGAAGGGCTCCGCCTGCCGAGGGGTGCTCCTCGCGAGGGGTGGCCCCTCCAGGCCAGGCGACGTCCTGATTTCTCACCACGGGGCCCCGGGAGGTCCCGACCCCTCCTCCTCCTCCTCCTCCCTCTCCTCCTCCTCCTCCACCCCTCCTCCTCCTCCTCCTCCTCCTCCTCCTCCTCCTCCTCCTCCTCCCCCCTCCTCCTCCTCCTTCCTTCTCCTCCTCCTCGTCATCTCCTCCTCCTCTCCTCCGCCTCCTCCTCCTCCTCCGCCTCCTCCTCCTCCTCCTCCACTCCTCCTCCCTCCTCCTCTCCTCCTCCTCCTCCTCCTCCTCCTCCTCCTCCTCCTCCTCCTCCGCGGGACCAGTTTTCGCATCCTGGATCGTTTCGTTGACGGCCCCAGTCGGCGTCACGCCAATGTGCGTGTACCGTATGTGCGTCGCCCCCCTCTGGGCCGGCGCGCACCGAGGAATCTCACAGCAGCTGCGTCGTGGCGGGTGCTTTCTGGCCACGCTGCTCGGGGAACGATGCACTGCAAAATGGGCATGCTATACTACGCTTCGGGTCGGGCGCGCGCCCCCCCGGGGAGGACAGACAGTGCTCGTGTGTCCTGGTGCCTCCCCCACAGCCCATCGAGGGAGCACCGAGGCCGAGCACGGCCAGAAGCCTGCCGCCGTGCTCCTCGTCCGCCGCGCGAGGCACGATCCTGGGCCCTCGCGGCGCGGCGCGGGCGGGCCGTGCTTCGGCGCGGCCTCGGGGCCTCCGCTCCGCCCCGGCCTCGAGCTCCGGGGCGCACGGCAGCGCGGCGCGTTTTTTGTTTGTTTGTTTATTTGTTTGTTTGTTTGTTTGTGTGTGTGTGTGTGTGTGTTCAGGCTCGGGCAAGTCTGTCTGCGTGGCGTTCGCCCGCAGGTGCCTCTCGGCCTGCCTGGTTTCCGCACGTGCCAGTCGTTCGCGGCCCACTTCGGGTTCCAGCCCCCCCCCCCAGTCCATGCAAGCAAACTTGCCGGAGTCTACAAAACAGGCTCCCGCGTCGCGGGTCGCTCCGGGCGCGCACCCCCCGCGTGGCGCGACCCGCGGCCGTAGGCGCAGCGCCGAATCTACGCAGCGGGCTGCGACAGCGACGACAGCGAGGACGGCGAGGACGGCGAGGAGCGGATCCCACAAACAGGCGCGGGCTTCAGGAGAGGAAGATATGCCGATGCCTCCACCCTTCCCTCGTTGCGACGGCTGGATTCGCCTCGGGATTCTGGTCAGAAGGCACCCCGGGAGAGGTCCAGGGCTTGGCGGTATTGGTACTACCCAGGTTCAGGGGAAGATTTCGGAACCTGCTGCGTGCGGGGCTAGGACCGGGGTAAGTCGTTTCGGAGCGTTCCCGAATGCTCTCAGAGCTTCCCGGACCGCCCTGGAGCGGCCGCGGCGCCCAATAGATTCTCCAGAACCGCCGGACCTCAAATCTTCCCGACTACTCCCTGTCCAATTTTTGTTACTGCCTTGGCGTCAGGTCTAGGAGAAGGGGTCACTCAGGCTACACCAGATCATTCCCCCCCGCCCTCAGCCGTTCCCATAAGATCGACCTAATCTGCGTATCGCGTCAACGCGGCCGTGCATCCTCTGCACTTTCGGAGCACAGCTCGGCCGTCCGGGGGCGATCTTGGGGCGAGCCTGGGTCATGCTGCTAGATGCCTGCTGCGGCGACAAGGCTGGTGAAATGGTGAAGGTGCGGATGTGGATGCCGTTGCTGCTTGTGGCGACGGCGAGCTTGGAAGCGCGTGGGGAGCGATCGGAGCGTTTGGGAGCTGAGAGCGCCTTGGAACGTCTTCTTGGCGACCTGGGAGCGCACTGTGAAGATCAGCCGATATCACCAAATGGTATTCTCTCGCAAGGGATTGTGAAGGTTCGATGGGTGCGTAGATGAGCAGACGTGCACCAAATGCTTGTTCTGTGTCAGAAAGTGAGTCTTGGGTCGCTGTGAACGGCAGCCGATGTGCAGTATGTTGTATTTTGCAGAAAGGGATTGTAACGGTTGGATGGTTGTGAAGATCTGTTGACGTGCAGCGAATGGCATTCTGGCGCAGAAGATGATGGTGGATGTCCAGCCATTCTATGAAGATCATCTAATGTACACCAGATGGTATGTTTGCTTGCATGGGGTCGCATAGGAAGGGTAAGTGTAAGCGGCGTGCTGCTCTGAATGTAGATTTGGATCCAGATAGCGCGATGCCACGATCAGCCGGTGTGCACCGCGTCCCACCCCTTCCCCGGGATCAGCTCATCGTCCTGGTCGAGTCGTGCCCTTGAGGCCGACAACTGCCAGACACCCTCCGTTGTGTTTCCTCCACGGCGCGAGGAGGCTTGGGCCCCTCTTCTCCCGAGGCGCATACATTTGTCCATGTCCACCGCTTGGGGGAAACGATTGTCGTGGACCTCGGCAGACGGCGGACATGGATAAACCATAAGCCTGGCCCCCTCGCGTGCCGAGGCCAGGCGGTGGTCACGTGGAGGAATTCCCGTCTCGCGCCCTTCCCTGAGATCCGACGCTGCGACAGACAGTTCGGCATCTCGAAAAGGATGAGGAGGAGGAGGAGGAGGAGGAGGAGGAGGAGGAGGAGGAGTGGCCCTGGGCCCTAAACCCGAGCTTCCTGTTTCACTTTTGTTCGGGCTGCATCGATCTGCGTTGGTCCACGCCCCGGAGTTGGGCGACGTCGCCCGCGTGCGAAGGAATCGCAACCCCCTCCTCCTCCTCCTCCTCCTCCTCCTCCTCCTCCTCCTCCTCCTCCTCCTGCGGATCATCTCCTCCTCCTCCTCCTTCTTCCTTCTCCTCCTCCTCCTCCTCCTCCTCCTCCTCCTCCTCCTTCTGCGCACAACCTGAGGCGCCACAGAGTCTATGACACCACAGCCGTCAGTTGGCGTGGCTGAGGGCGCACCTTACAACCGCCCTCAGCCACGCGCTTCGGACAGGGCCCGCATGGGCCACGCTCCTGCCGCGAGGCTACACCTCGGGCAGAGGGGACTGCGCACGGCCAGACCGCCAGCGCGCACGGAAGGGCAGTGCAGGACCTGCAGAAAGTGGGTCACTGCACGAGCCCGTCGAAAGAAAGAAAAGAGAGAGGAGGGCGGGCCGAGGGCCACGGGGCGATCTCCCTTACTGGGAGGATCCCCTATGGCCAACGACCTGCCCCCCAGAGCGCGACCCCACGGTGGGGTCGGGCTGTTCCTGACCATGAACATCGAGAGCATCGGGCAAAACGTTAGGAGGAGGAAAAGGGCGGCCACTGGCAGCTGCCAGCAGCCGCTGAACAATGGCAGCACGCTCTGCCTCCGTGCGCTGCGTGCGCTGCTTGCGCACAGGCACGGCGGTGTCCGAAACATCTCCTCCGCCCCCGCTCAACGACGCCGACGGCGCGACACCACCATCCTCCGCTAAAGCAACAGCACTGCCAGCAGACCGCTGGGGTGCCTCCGAGGTGGCCACGCCTGCCTCCAGCTGGGGTGCTGCCGAGGCGCTAGCCACCGTAGCAGGCTCAGAGAGACTTTCCCCTCCTCCACCGCTAGCCAACGACGACACGTCAAGGCCTCCTTCCTCCGAGATGGCGCCAGCACCCACACCAAACGGGTGGGATGCCCCCGAAGGTTGGGCCGAGACATCAGTAGCAGCATTGTCGTCGCCAGCCTCCAGCTGGGCGGCGCGAAGAGAAACGGCCGCAGCGGCCTCTGCGAGCGGTGCCTGCGCTGCGACCCGAAACACCTTGGCGCTGAGGCGAAACTCCCCCTTACAGAGCCGCTTGAGCACCTTCAGGGCATGGTCTGTGGCCACAGGCGTGCACGGCTGGCTGAGAGCTGCAACGCGAGAAACCGCAAAGCTGCCACAACGCGCGCAGCCCACAACAGTGGGACCTTCACGCAGTGCAATACGAACTAGGTCATGCTTGCGCGCTCCATCCCCTAGCTGCCTCTGCGCTGCCAGCACGCGAGATGCAATATCGGATGGGACGGGATTGCGCACAACGAAGAGCCGAGGGAGACGCGGCTTGCCACGATTGTGCCGCTTGGGGTGGCCACAATCTTCAAACCCGTCGCTGAGTCGGCCAATCCAGTCTCCCCAGGTCTTGACAACCTTGGAGCGAGCCTGCAGCTGCGCACGGCTCTGCCGCGGTACTCGCGCAAAGGCAGCAGCGCTCTTTGCAGCACGGTCTGCCATCATATTGCCAAACCTGTGGCGCGCCGTGGCGCGCCCGTGCTGGATGTCACCTACGGCCGCATGACCTTTGACCTTCGAGAGCTCAAAACCGTCCCCCCAGTCATCAACCAAACGCCAGAACTCCCGCCAGAGGTGAGCATGCGCGGCAACACAGGCAGTAGTGGCCACGCGGCCACGTTCGTGGAAGCCATCCACGACAAAGGCTGAGTCCGAAAACATGCGCACTGGCGGCGCCGCAAAGCGCAGCACATGAATGACTGCGATGAGTTCGGCAGCATTAATGCACTGCAAGGGGTCGAGCACGGGGCCAGAGCACAAAGAAACAACCTGAAGGCAATCGGGGTGAAGCGCCACGCACCCCCAGCCCGCATTCGCGAGGCTGGGATACTCAGCTTCAAAAACCGATCCATCAGGGTAGATATCTCCCATGAAGCTGTCAGGCCCTCCAAGCCCCCAGCACACGGGTCGCCCAGGCGGCGGCCTGACGAGTGCAGGAAACGGGACCAGACAGCGCAGACGAGGGCTAGCGGCGACTGCGCCGCCCGCACTGCATTGACACGAAACGCAGGAGCGCCCTCGAGGCTGTCGAGGCGCACACAAGAGCAGTGCCTGTGCAGCAGCGTGCCTTAGGCGTGGGGGCAGAGGAGGCAAGTAGGCGTGGTATCGTGTCCTTCGGCCCACTGACGCTTCTGGGGCCACTGTCCCCCAACCACGGTGCTGCGCAGGTGGCCTCTCTGCGGTGCCGTGAGCTTACTCTTGGTGCTGAGCAGGGCCTTCAGGGGGCTGAGTATGACACCGCTACAGCAAAGCGAGGGCGACGATTGTCACACAACTCTCGTCGTTTTTGATCTTCGCGGCGCCCGTAAAGGGGGTGGCTCGAGGGGGATGGGCTTCTACCGAGGCGGAGGGGCATCTTAGAAGGTAATTTCGAAAACAATCAGGATGAGGCGGAGGGGCATTCTAGAGGAGGGGTATTCTAGAGGAGGCGGAGGGGCATTCTGCGCGCACGAGTGCGCCAATCCAGCATCAATTGAGAACGGTCACTCGTATTCTAGGCCTTCGCATGATCAGATGCATTGTGTCGGGGGTTGACAGAATCCCCACCCTGACACGTCGATTAGTGGATTGTCCGTTTCTGGTTCGCGAGAGGGCGCAGCGGCCATCATTTTCCAGGCTTGCGCCCGCCAGGTTTGGGCCCGAGGTCGTTTTCGCTAAACCACGTTTTGCTGAAGTGGGTTTTGTCCATCCCCGGGTAAGGGCCTTCTTAGACTTTGGAGAAGGCCTTCAAGAAGAAGGCTTCTGAGAAACTGGGCGGGCTTCTAAGAAACTCCGCTTCGGGCCCCCAAGCTTAACAGTTGGGCCAGAATCGCCAAAGCAGGTCTGCCGCCACTGGTGGGTGCCTCTTCCAGTGGCGGCTGCTCCTGATGATGGCGGGGCGACGTCCCCCCCTCTGGCGCGCATCGCCCAGCCAGGCCCCACCAACCCAGCCCTTCCAACGTCCGACCCCTGCCTCCTTAGAGAAGCCCCGCCGCCTGCCTGGCAGCCCGCCCGCTCCCGCGCCACCCCCTGCTGGGCGCCGCCAGCCGGCCCCGGAGGACAGCGAGGACGGCAAGGACGCCGAGGACGAGGCCCAGCCGGCCCCGCAGCTGCGCGGCGGGCCGGACACCCCCGCCGCGCCGGCGGCCGCCACGGCGCGCGCCCCCGCCGCCGCCCGCCCGCGACTGCCGCTCGGCGCCGCCCCGCCGCCGTGCCGCTGGCTTGGGCCGCCGCCGTGCCCCCTGGGATCCTGTCGTCGCAGTCGTGTTCGACGGGTGCGGCCCCGCTCCATGTGGTGGCCCAGGAGCCGGAGTGGAAGGGGCCGGAGGATGGCGCCGCATCGCCGATGCATCAGCGATGCGGCTCGATGAGGAGTTCTGTTTCCTCCGCGCCGACGTCCAGGATGCGGCGCAATCTTTCGACCCGATCTTCTCGGACCCCATCGAGAAGGCCTCTACTCACGCATCCATCTGGCCCACACCAGGCTCGCGAAAGGTGGTCCAGGGCTCTGACTTCGCTGCCGCCGGGCTCCGAAACGCGAGGGAGAAGACCGACATGAGCGTAAATTTTCGGAGCCCCGTGTGGATTTCTTGGATCTGGGCGGGGCCCCCTTTGGCGGCGCCTCTGGCGGCGCTCCTCGCGCGCTTCGCGCGCCAGGGACAGGGTCCAACGCCGATTCAACAAATCCGCGCAGAGCTTCAAAAGTGTATGTTTTTTCCCAACCCTCCTGTGGTGTTGGGTCCTCGTTTTGAAGATCTTCGCCCCACGTTCCTCTCCTCTCCTCTCCTCCTCCCCTTCCTCCCTCCTCCCGTCACCCCCTTCACTTTGGCACACCCCTCACACGCTTCGTGGCCCCATAGGGAGCTCCACGGAAGGTCCCAGTTGCGCAGCCCGCATGCGTCTCCCCACCCAGTACACCGTGTCGTGGTCCTGGCATAAACTCCACCGAAGGTCCCAGTGTCGCAGCCCGTGTGCGTCTCCCCCACCCAGTACAGCGCTTCATGGCCCCACAGGGAGCTCCACCGAAGGTCCCAGTTGCGCAGCCCGCATGCGTCTCCCCCGCCCAGTGCTTTGTTTCTTGGCCCTATAAGGAGTTCCACCGAAGGTCCCGGGGGCGCAGCCCGTATGCGTCTCCGAGGGTCGAGAAAAGGCGAGAACGGCTAAATCCTTCAACAAGCAAAGGAACATCACAGGTTTTTGCCTCTTGAGGCCCTGTTGGGAGGCCTCTTGGGGCGTCTTGGAGGCCTCTTGAGCCATCCTGAGGCCATCTCGGGCGTCTCGGGCCGATCTCGGGGCGCCTCGGGGCCGTCTTGCAGGCCGCTGGCGGGGCGCTCTCGGCCCGTCTTGAGGCGCCCCTGGGCCCGAGAAATGCACGCGAGAAGGCTTCCCAGTGCCCAGGGGTCTGGGGTGGACAGACCTCCTACCCCGACACGTCGAGCAAGGAATTGGCCGTGTTTTGTTTGGTCCGCGAGAGGGCGTCGCGGCCGTCATTTTTGCGGGTTCAGGGCCGTCGGCTTCGGCCCCGGGCCGTTTTCACCACGGGGAGGTCTGCGAAAGGGAGGCTCGTCCACCGCCGAAGGGGGGCAGGCGCGCGGGGAGCACCGCGGGGGGTCGCGGGGAGTCCCCGGGGGGGGGGGGGGGGGGGGCACGCGCCACGCCCCCTTCGGCAGCCTCGAGAGCCCGAGGGGTCCGGGCCCCTTAGGGGCCCCGAGGGCACGCCCGGTCCGTGCTCCGCGGCGCCTGTTGCGGGTGCGCGAGGGCCTCCCATCGGGGGAGCGTAAGACCCGGGTGTGCCAGGACTCGGGTTCGCCATCGTTTTTTGACGACCGCGCCTCGGATTTTGACGAGGAGGAGTTTCGTGGGATGTCTGCAGCGGGAGGCCTCGTCAAAATGCAGGCTCGGCCTCGTCATTTTTTTGACGACCTCGTCGGGCCAACCCGAGTCCCCCGTACCCGGGTCTTACGTCTCCCCGATCCCAGGGGTCCTCGGTCCCCATCAACGACTGGAGCTCGACTCACACCAACCTCCTTGACTGGGCAGAAGACGTGGCACAAACATAAAAACTCGGAGGTCCGCGCGGATTTCTCGGGTCGGCGTTGGACCCCCCTCCCTGGGCGCGCGGAGCGCGCCGTGCCAGGGGCGGCGCCGGAGGCGCCGCTGGGGGGCCCCAGCGCCGATCCGAGAAATCCGCGCGGACATCCGAGCTGTTATGTTTGTGTCACTTTCTGTTCCCCCAGTGAGAGCCTCCAGGGGTCCTCGGTCCTCATCAACGACTGGATCTCGACTCGCACCAGCCTCGTGACTGGGCAGAAGATGTGGGGCTATTTGACGGGATGCCGCGTAGCTTTATGTCGGGCGTGTCCCCCTACAGGGAGATTTTCGACGAAAAATGAAAAATACCCCAAAAGTGCCTCAAAAAAGTCAAAACATACTCAAGAAATTGTCCCCAGACTACTACTGGAACGGGTCCGGGCAGCGGGGGCGCGTCTGCTGACGTTCCTGGACCGTCTACTTTTAGGTCGGGCCTGTCTCCTTACAGGGGGATTTTCGACGAAAAATAAAACATACCCGACAAAATAGTCCAGAAATAGTTCAAAAATAGCCTGGGGACTATTTTTAAAGCATTGTTTGACCTTTTTGGGGCATGTTTAGGTTTTCTTTTAACAAAAAAAACAAACAACATTTTTCGTCGAAAATCCCCCTGTAGGGGGACACGCCCGACATAAGTCTACTTCATTGACCTGTCTCCGCGTTTTTCAGAGTTTTCGGCCTCGCGGGCGCTTGCGCCGGGCCCCGGGAATGCGAGAAACGACAAGGCCGGCCCAGGAGAGCGGTCTGTAGAAACCGGGTATGGTGGCGCCCCTGCCCACGCCTTGTCGCCCTCAGTATTTTTGACTTCCCCTCCCCCATCTCAGGCGATCGCAAACATGGATCAAGGTCCCAAGGGGGCGTGTATCAGCGACGAGTCCCGTTTCCATGGGGAATTGCGGATTTCCGCCGCCGAACGAGGCGGCACAGGCCGCATTTTGGGGAGTGCACCTCCCCCGACCCATGCTAGCGCGCCGCCGACCGTCGCCTCGCTCTTCTGCTGCTGGTCGCAGTCCGCGGGATCCGTCGGCCGGCGCTGACAGTGAAGAACAAAGAAGACACCAAACATAACTCCCCGTGCGTGAGCTTTCGGAGGCCTGCGCGGAGATCTTGGATCTGCGCGTGCAGCGCGCCGCCCCCAGCCCTCGCCCGCGCGCCAAAAAGGGGGGGGGGGGGGGGCGACCAGCGCGGATCCAGAAAGTCCGCGCGCACGTTCGGATCGAATGCCGCTCCCTATTCTTTCGGGAACGGCCGAGAGAGGCGAAGGAGGTTCCAGGCTCGCAGACGATATCTTCGCCCCCAGTCCCCGACGTCCCTCCTGACGAGTCAGAGCGCTCAGAAATGAGGGGGATCTCGGGTATACATGAATACGCCCCCGGGGAGCTGCTAGAACGCACCCCGGTCGGGGATGTGGCCCCCCCGTTTGTACATCCCCACGTCTGGCCCAAATTTGTGTTGTCCGATCGAAGCCCGACGAAGTCGGGGATACTGGACTTTATGATATTTTCACAACGTGGACCCCCAGAGGTCTCGACGCCTTCCCTAGGACCGGCTTTTCATCCCGAGCCGTTGTTTGACGGTCCCCAGGCCCGTAACGTCTCGATTCGCGCTGGCGCCGCTTGGGACTGCCTAGGAATGGCTCATTCCCAGACTGCGTGGGCGCGAATCGTGACGTGACCATGGGGGGGGGAGGGGTGGCGGGGCCGGTCACGGGCCGCGGATGACAAAAGACTCTTCAAATCGAAGAGAAACCTTCCTTCCGATCCAACTTTTGCACGATGCGAGGGGGGGGGTATGGCGAGGCCTGGGCCGTCCCCGCAGAGTCGGAGATACCGGACGCCATGGCTTCTCCACGACGTTCTCCCGGGGCCTGCTCTGCCTCCCGAGCCGCTTTTCTCGACGGCCCCCCGGGCCCCGCGACGGCCCCGAGAGCCCAGGACCGTAGAAGGCACCCGCCGCCGGCGCTTCTGGCGCGACGCCGAGGCAGGGTCTGCCCCGGCCGCCGCCCTTCGGCGCGAGCTCCCGCCCGCCTCTGCGCACGCGCGCCCCCGGCAGCGCGCGGCGGACCGCCGGCGCGCTCCTGCGCCGCTCGTCATGGCCGGCGGGGGTGCCGACGCCGGAGGGGAGGCGCAGGCCAGCGCGAGCGGCGAGGACGGCCGTCGCGAGCGGGTTCTGTGGGCCTCTGCTGCCCATGTGGGCCCTCCTGCTCCTCCTGCTCCTCCTGCTCCTCCTGCTCCTCCTGTTCCTCCTCCTCCTCCTCCTCCTCACCCTCCTCCTCCTCCTCCTCCTCCTC